GTTTTGAAATTCCCTCAGATCTCTACTGTTCTATGCAGACTTGGTAAGTCAATTAAGATATTGGATATTTTAAAGGAAACAATTTAAAAGAGTTTTTTTTTTTAAAAAAAAAATGGGTTTTATGTGTACATTGGAAGAAAATTGGGCTTTGAAATTTTAGGCAGTCTGACAATGGAACAACTATATGAGAAGATTATTGCTGATTGAATTGTGATCAAATTATTACTTTTCTTATCCTTATTTTACCATTTAAAAAGATAGTCAATTTAAGTGCCAGGATAAAAGTTTTAGAAAAACCTATTAAACCTGTTAAAATGAATTATAGAGAAATTCAGATTCAGACAGAAGAAATTAACAGTGAAATTGTTTCAGGATTGGATTATAAGGTTACAGAAGGAAAGAGAATATGTTCATTAAGTATATTCCAAATGAGTGCAGTGTGGGCAGGAAGAAGAAGAGAATGACCAGCTGTACAGGGCAGTGGCTAAAGGTCTCTATTTTGAACAAATGTTTGTTTTTAGGGAGTTTCTTTGTGTGCAGTTTCCCAGCATGCCATTCAGTCCCTGTGGACAGGAGTCCAGAGATGCTGATGGCACAAATTTCTGGGAGATTATCATGATCCACTCTCCATATCATTCCCAGTGTAGGCAATCCTAATTTTTTGCCATTGATTCTTTTTAAATGAGAATGGATTCCATGAAATGGAGACTAATGCTGCTCATGAAGCTGTTTAATGCCCCCCCTTTTTTTTTTTACTAAATTTATTCTCTAAGAGTATATTTTCAAAATTATCATATTGAAACAGGACATGGTAGTTGCATGCCTCTAATCCCAGCACTTCAGAAGAAGAGACATAAATATCAGGAGATCAAGACCATCCTAAGCTACATGAGATCGTGTCTTAATACAACAGTAACCACGATAAAAATAAAAATTCACGCCAGGCAGTGGTGGCTCATGCCTTTAATCCTAGCACTCGGGAGGCAGAGCCAGGTGGATCTCTGTGTGTTCAAGGCCAGCCTGGTCTACAGAGTGAGGCACCAAAACTATACAGAGAAACCCTGTCTCGAAAAACCAAAAATAAATAAATAATAAAAAATAAAAATTCATATAGTAATTGTACACTTCCTACCTGTATAAATCACTTGCTAAATTTGTGCCATCTCTTATAGACATAAATAAGTAGACATAGTTTACAACTTCTCAGAAGGCTTGTATGTTATGGCACACACCTGTAATGCCAGCTCTTAGAAGTTAGGAGTGGGAAAATTCAGAGTTCAAGGATAAGAAACCCATGATAGAGGTGGACACACAGGCACAGACAGAATCTCCAGGGAATGAACTGGGGAAAGTCAGGTAACTGCTGTGGGAAGAGGTGAGTGAGGTCCAGAATTCTCTGGTTTATTAGTAAAGTAAAATAGGAAAATTGGAGAGCAAGAACGGGTGGGAGTGTCCTCTTTCTCTATATTTAAACCTGAAACTGACCAAGAGATGAATGAACCTGGAGGCTCAGAATGAGTCACTGGGTCTGTTTGCTCTTCTTTCCACTGCAGCCATATTTAACACATGTCCTTTCTCTGATCTTTCCACTGTCCTTGTGCTTTAATTATCATATTGTATTGGCCAATTCTGGCTTATTACAGTTGTCAGAAACCAGGCTGTGACCCTGTCTGATGACAGCACCACGGAGGTTCCTTGGAAAAGGGTCCATGGGCCTTGCAGGACAGTGAAAGACACACCCCTGGTGCTATCAGAAAGTGGGGTGACCCTGGGGAGAATGATAGACGACTCCAACTCAGCACTGAAAAAAGGTCTCATTCCCTGTAGATACAGAAAACAGAAACTGGGATGCCCACTTCCTAGGGATGGAGGACAACAGGACAGACAGCCACAGTCCTCTAGAATCTACAGGGAATAGACTGGCCTTTGTCGGTAACAGCTGTCTGAAGTGGTGGGCGATGGCCAGACATATCTGAAAATATTAGCAAAGTAAAGTAGGAAATTTTACAAACCAGAACAAGGAAAGCATCCTGAGTTCATAAAGGGGGGTTAGTGTGTCTATAGAGCATCCCCATCCTGTGAGAAGGAACTGCCAGAGCCCTGATTAAGACAAAGAGTTCCAGAATTTCAGCATAGTTTTAACATGAGGAGTTATTTTGGAGAAATATGAAAAGATGACCCAGGTGGAAAGAGAGTGTGTGAAAGCCCAGGGTGTTCTGATCAACAACTGTGCACAGCCCAGACCACACTTGACTCTACACTTGACTCCAACGGCCACAATAGGCAATAGACTTGGCACAGCACACATGAATTCCATAAGATTCTGAGCCTTTATTTTCTCCATCACCTTTTACTCGTCTCTAGGACACCCACTCTGGCAAGAAATTGTACAACTTTAAAAAAAAAAAAAAAAATGCCGGGCGGTGGTGGCACACGCCTTTCTTTAACCCCAGCACTCGGGAGGCAGAGGCAGGCGGATTTCTGTGAGTTGGAGGCCAGCCTGGGCTACCAAGTGAGTTCCAGGAAAAGGCGCAAAGCTACACAGAGAAACCCTGTCTCGAAAAACAAAACAAAACAAAACAAAAACAAAAAACAAACAAAAAAAAAAGCTTAATTAAGGACAGAAGCACCTGGCGGTGGTGGCGCACACCTTTATTCCCCTCACTCCGGAGTCAGAGGCAGGCAGAGTTGTGAGTTTGAGGTCAGCCTGGTCTACAGAGCTATTTCCAGGACAGCCAGGGCTACAGAGAAACCTTGTCTCAGGAAAACAAAAACAAACGACAGAAGCGTGAAGTTGTAGCTTGTTGAAAACTAAACTACAATCAGCAATTGGGGTTTCCCAGCCCCGCCACTATTGGAGAGATGACTGGGGAGGAGACAAAGGTCAGGGTGGGGTGAGGCCTGTTGCTGCTCAAAGCTCGGCTGAACTCGTCCTCTGCTTACATTGTGCTCAGAGGAAACAGACACATAACCACCATCACATAGAGAAAGAGAAGGCATGAGGTCTTGAGGCCACAGTAGGAAAAGGAGAAACCAGAACAAATCCTGTTTGGCTCAGTCCAGCTGTCTTATCCTGTAGAAGAAAAGAACAAGGAAGAAACTCAGATCAGTGTCTTAAATGGTGACACTCTGAACAGCTGATCACGCACTCAAACTGTCCCAATCCCAGAAGTGCCCACACCGCAGGGTTCTGTCCTCTGACCTCTCCCTGTCTCACACCAGACCCTTTAGGGTATCAGTTTTTAAAGCTGGAACAAAAGGCTGGACATCCTAGAAACTTTACCCAACCCCCACCCCACCCTACCACCACCACCCGCAGTGGGAAAGTAAAACAAGACCAAGTCAAAGCCTCTGAAGATGGAACTGCTGAGCAGCTATGGGCTGGCTGAGATCCTCCATGGCTCCTGCATACACTGCCACAGGTGTCTCAGGGATCAGCCCCCAGTATAAAGACTGGCAAGCCTGAACACGGCTGCCTCACCGTTTACCCCTGGGAATACTCCTTTGCATTAGAGCTCATGGAAGCATCAGGATCTAGAAGGCCTAGAGGAATCTCCTGGTCCTTATCTGAAGTTTCCAGAACTCTGACTACAGATCCAGAGAAAGATGAGGAAACATGATAGTAGATTGCACATGAAGAGGACTAACTGGACTCCTGGATATGTGTTCTAAGTAGGGACCACTACATCTGACCTCTGAGAGCTGAGGATCAGGTCTCTGCCACCTCTATCACTGCAGTGATGAATCTGTTCATTATTTCCTTCACAATAGAGTTAATGTCAGCACATCAGCACAAGACTGAATAAGCAACTGTGTGGAGGAATTTTTGCTCTCATGTGACAGGGCACAGTCTCAGCTGGACTTGATATTCCCAGGGAGACTTGAACTCAAACCCTGCCCTTACCTTACCTTTAGTCTTCCTCTTCCATATCAGAAAAGTCACCACAGCTCCCATAAGCATAGCTCCAAGAACCAGGCCAGTAACAATTGGCATGATGGGGACAGAGGGCTGAGGAGGCTCTGACAGAGAATGGAAGGAACCGTGAGTCCTCTGACCTCCCGCTATCAGTCATGACCCTGATCCATTTCTCCCAAAGCCTCCCACTCTCTCTGTGATAGGCTCTGTGGTCAATCCCAGTCCTTACCCCATCTCAGGGTGATGGGCTCAGGCAGTCCCTCATGAGTCACATGGCATGTGTATCTCTGCTCCTCCCCAGAAGGCACCACCACAGTTTCTGGAAGGTCCCATCCCCTGCAGGCCTGGTGTCCATCATTTCCATGTCCTGTGTCTGGTTGCTCCCATCCCTCTGCCATATCAGGGTGATCTCAGCAGGGTAGAAGTCCAGAGCCCAGCATCTCAGGATGATTTTCCCATCAGTTCTGACTTTTTGGGTTACAAGTATTTTGGGATCTCTGAGGGGAACAAATTAGAAAATCCAGGCTTTCTGCATTCTTCCCGGGGATCCATCAGTGCTCATGTGACCTTGTTTTTAATGGATGGAACAGTTGGCTTGAAGGAGTTGTACAGACCCCACCCATCAGCATAATCTCAGGATAAAAAATGGGGTAAACTATTCCTTGGAAAGTTCCAGATTCAGCTTGAGCCAGCACAGAGCAAGAGACTCTGGATCTCACTCTAGGAATACGGACTTCTGGTTCTGACTGGATGGAGACTCAGCAACACTGGGCTCAGACCTCCAAAGTGCATGGACAGGAAACAGGCCTGAGAGAGCTCGTGGTCCACAAAGCAAGTGGAAGGGAATTGCTGTTTAATTGGAAAACTGAAGTGTCCTGACAGAAGGCTTAGCCCTGAGAGAGTCCCTCTCTTATTGAATTAGAAAACCCATGAGACACTTCCCGCTTTGATTCAAGACTGAGTTCTTATTCCAGCTTCTCCCTGCTGAGGAGGAATCCTCAGGGAACAGGGGCTCCAGTCTCAGAGCAGATGGGCAGTATTTGTCCTTACCTGTTCTCAGCAAAGTCTCCTTCCCATAGTCCACTTGTGAAGGAGCAACTGCACACATTGCTTCTCCAGGTAAGTCTTCACCACTTGTGAAAAATCTGACTCCTCCCACTCAAGCCTGAGCATCTCAGCTGCCTTGCCAACGGAGGTCCAAGTGCTGAGGTCCTCGTTCAGGGTGATGTAATCGTGGTGGTTGAAGTTTAATTCGAATTGTTGGTGACTGGAGTGCATTCCAGACAGCAAATCACAGCCATACAGATTCTGAATTGTGTGATGTCCTGGCCAAGCTCTCACTCTCAGCCACTACCACAGGCCCGGTCCCTTGGTGGGGCCCTCCAGTGGCTCCCTCCCTCCTTCCCTCCCTCCCTCCCTCCCTCCCTCCCTCCTTCCCTCTCTCCCTCTGCTTTCTAAATGGCTGGATTTGGACTTCAACTGCACAAAAAGCCAGGTCAGTGTCCCAAGGCTCTCTTCAGCCTAGTCTCCATGGGTCACATTTCCCTGGGGTAAATTTCAAACATGGCACACTAGGGCCACCCCATTGGGAACTTGAAATTTGGGATTTCTGGTTTGGGCTCACTCACCAGTTGCACTATGGTTGTAGATATCGAGCATTTTCTTCAGCCTTTCTATGAACACTTTGGTTTCTCTCAGGGCCTGCTGTGTCCTCCACTCCCAGTACTCTGGCTCCTGCTGATCCACCCATGGTGCATAGCGTCCCGTCCTTGTGTGAGACCAAAAAGAGCCATCTTAGAAATGCTTTCACCCAAAAACTAAGGCCTAAGATTTCTCCTTTTGGGAATAGGCCATTAGTTACTGGAACCAGTCAGTTCAGATTCCAGAAACCAGGAAGTGTAAAAGTACAGAGTCACAAGATAGTCACGAGGTAATGCCTACCAGACTATGGAACGTCCTCTCCCTGGTTTCCAGGGTAACTGACCACAGAAATGCCCCCACCTGAGGGCAGTCAATGAGAAATGGTGGCGGGCAACCACTCCCTTAGAAGTAATTTCTAGAAGTCCCTAGAAGCGAGCCAATCAGAATTGTATCCATACTAGCACCCCTAAATGATGTAACCTTGTGACTTTTCCCTTTAAAAACTGAGCTTGCAGACAGGTGGGCGCTTCCTCCAGCCTCCACTGCGTTGGATGTATTGGACGAAGTCCCTGCCTAGGCTTGTATTGCTTTTGGATATCCAGAATTAAACCTTGCTTTTGCATTCCGGCATGCTCGTCTTTGGTGGTCTCTCTGGGGGTCACGATCTGGGCACAACACTTGGAGGCTCTTCTCTACTGTCCAGTCTCTCAAACTGTGTGTCATCCACAAAAGTCACAATAATGAACTGGGGCTCCACAAGGCCAGGCCAGGTGAGGAGAGTTTGGAAATAGTTCAGCCAGTGTGAACCTAGGTGCAGTGGCCTTTAGATCTCGACACCCCACTTAGCAGCCTATGCTGCTCCCCACATTCCTCCCAGGAGAGCACGAGCAGGGACAGGGGACAGGATATAAAATAAATAAGGGACAGGTCCTGACTGGGTTAGGGAAGAGACAGACCTTCCTGTACTACAGCCCAGGGGTGAGTTAATTTCATCTCCCAGGTTAGGTCCTTTCCCTCCTGACACCCACACTCACCCTCTAGATACCTGGTCAGGGCCAGGTCAGCCAGGACCAGGAGGAAGAGAGCCTCTGGGCCAATGGTCTTCATCCTGCTTAAAGAGTGGACACTGAGTCACTGCTAGTGTGTGTTCCGTTTATAATCTTGATATGAATGAGGCTGATTAGCTTCTCTAAGACTTCCCAATGGTAATGAAGCATTGAGATTGGGTCATGGAAAGATGGAGTCTCCTGGGCCCTGCTTTCCTGGCTCAGACCCAGCTCTGGGACCTGGTATCCTGGGAGCGGTGTCAGGGGAGAAGTTGCTTACTCTGGTCTTTGCTGCCCTCGTCCTGGTCACAGTACCCTTCTGAGTCCAGCCTAGAGGCCACTGAGTCAGTCAGTTCTCAAACTTGGACGTGTCTATAGAGTCTTGGAAGTTGATTGGCCCTCAAAGGTATTTATGCTTGTGTGGATTATATCTATCTATGCTCACTATGTTAGGAACTGAGGATTTTGAAACATTTGCTTTATTGAATACATTAATAATAGAGTGCATGTAAGCAGAATGTTTACAAAAAGGAACAACTATTTTCCAAAATATAATGGTATGGTGAAAATAATAGATGTTTCCATGTCTGCCTGTCCTTATCCTCATATTCTTACTAGTGATGCTTTGGATTCTTCTTTTTAACCTTTTAGTTTTATGTGCAGTGTGGGAAATGCAGCTTCACTGAAATATGCAGGAAGGATAATTTTAGATTCATTTTTTATTATATATATATTTGTGTGTCTTTTGTGTTTGTGAATGTTGGGATGCAGTTGTCTGTGGAGGCCAGAGGAGGGTGTTAGAAACTGTGGTGTGTGATGCACAGGAGGTTGTGTGCTCCCAAACTTTCAAGATTCCAGCCTTGGTGGTCCAAATAGTGTAGCCATATCTGGAGCCAAAGGGGTAAGATTTTTACTGACATCTTCAGATAGTTTCACTTTTGTTTGAGGGTTGGGGATGCTCATCAGGCCTCTGTCTCCTGGGTGCTGAGATTGAAAGCATGGTCACCACACTAATGTAAATGTACATCTTTACCTCTGACTCTTCAATGGGTTGACACAGGTGCTACCGACATTCAGTAATTTGAAATATCATTGAATCCTTCGTTGCGTACTGCATCCACATTCATAAGGGAGTCTTGTTTATTGCATGGATGTTGTGTTATTACATTTTAGTTTTAAAAAGGAGAATATTGTTGACTAAGTTCATCAGTCTTTCAGTGTTCATGCTTTTAAATAAATTTTATCACATCTTACTTGTTAATATTATCACACATTTCACCAGAGAAATTTGTAAGTATTTAAAGTGATTAAGCTTATGATGAGGGATTCAAACACCTTCAGTATGGTAATATTCTCCTGAGAGCTCAGAGTTTATGATTGCTGGCAGGAGGACTGAGAGGGGAAATGATTGGATCACATTTTATATTATAGTAGAAGCAGCAGACAGTTGTTAAGTATGTTGTTGCAAAAACAAAAAAACCTACAGGGTGGGCAAAAAGATGAGTTCTACCCACCGGGTGTGGCAGGGTTTCAACTTTGGACAAATATTGTTCATTTAGGCATTTTCTTTTTGTGAAGTTCCTGGCATGCCACTCACTCTATGTGGGTGAAAGGTGCACAGTTTGGCGGACACACAGATGGGGTAGATGAGTATGAGCCTGGGGACCCGAGGTACTGTGATCCACCATGAGGCTGGCTCGTGATCTTGCCTACTGACCCGGATCACTCACCATCCTGCCTCTGGTGTAGTGGAGCAGGATCCTCAAGTACAGAGGATGTGTGGAGTCAGCAGAGGGAGAAAAGGAGGAAATGGACACAATCTGAGGGTGAATGGGCTGCCAGTGTGCTTATTGAAAAAAGAATATACCTTTTAAACTCTATAGTTGCACATAGGATTAAATAAGAGAAAAGGAGGCATGTGAGCTGGGGTGTGGCTTGAGATCAGGGATTAAGGAAGCGCTGACCTTGACAATAGGCACCAGTCACGGTTAGTGGAAGGGCCACATTTCCTCTTGCTGGAATAAGAATTTGCCTCCATTTCCAGCAAGTAGGAACTTTCTTCAAGCCCCTGAGGAAATGGGAATTTGTCTAAATGCCTGACCTTGGAAAAAGGACTTTCTTAGGGGAGCAGACACTCCATTATAGAATATTGCAGTTTCTTGTATGGCTTAGTTTATCCAAATAGCTAAAGCTTAAAAGTGAGCAAAGACAAAGCTAGACAAATATTAGAGTGAACCTGAGTAGATGTTAGGAATTTATAAAATCTTGATTATCAAATATCAAGTATGTTACTTATCTAAATTTTCTAGCAACATGGTGTTAACTTGTATCTAACTGTAGGCAGAGTTATCATGCTATATGGTTCCACCATGGAAGGGATTTTTTCCAAAGAATTATTTTGTTTAAAGAGGCTGATGAGGAACCTGCCTGATTCCATTTTGAAGGCAAGAGCTTATTGTTTTTTGTTTTTGGTTTTTTGGGTTTTTGTTTGTTTGTTTGGTTGGTTGGTTGGTTTTTCGAGACAGGGTTTCTCTGTATAGCTTTGTGCCTTTCCTGAAACTCACTCTGTAGACCAGGCTGGCCTCAAACTTACAGAGATCCGCCTGGCTCTACCTCCCAAGTGCTGGGATTAAAGGCGTGCACCACCACTGTCTGGCTTTATTGTATTTTAATTCTTATTTATTTTTATTATTTTTTAAAGATTTATTTATTTATTATGTATACAGTGTTCTGCCTGCACATATGTCTGTAGGCCAGAAGAGGGCGCCAGATCTCATTACAGATGGTTGTGAGCCACCATGTGGTTGCTGGGTATTGAACTCAGGACCTCTGGAAGAACAGCCAGTGCTCTTAACTGCTGAGCCATCTCTCCAGCCCGTATTTTTAAATAAGTTTCTATTTACTGTGAGAATTGAGTTTCTCTCTGTTCCCTGGAACCTGGCCTTCAACTAAGTCATGACCCTGACCTGTTTTGAGAACACCCTGATCTTCCCTGACCCCTCCTAATCACGTGGTGGATGATCACATGGTATTTTTTAAGTTTGGTGTTTTTTTTTTTTTTTTTTTTTTATTTCCTTATTGTACCATTTGTCTCTCTTCTGTAAAACCACTCCTGATTTCACTCCTTAAAAGGAGCCCAAGAAGTGGAATTGGGGCTGCTCTCTTTAGCCCAACTTAGGAGGCAGTCGCTGGCCAGCTCTTGGGTGCGTGCCAATAAAAATCAAGCTTGCTTCAAATTTGGCTCAAATTGTGGTAGTGGTTTTATTCTCACCATTGGGATTAACACTACCATTGTACACATTTTCATCCTTCACCAAAGCCTGCACAAAATTTCTCTAAGGGAAAGGCATAATAGTGACATCATTAAAAATGAGAGTAAAAGGGTGCTGGAGAATTGTGATCTACAAAGGTGAAATGCTGCAACTTTGTCAAGCAGCAATGGTCATCATGTGGTCCACGCCAGGGTCTGACCCATATAGGATTGCTTCTGGCTTCTCCTTTCCTACTGACTTCAAGAGCTTGCATTCTGACTTTGTTTTCTGCAACTGGCATCTGACTGTGGCTGTCTCCTGTCAGCACAGTGTGTAAAAGTGAGGAACTCAGTCCAGCCCTAGGCTCTGAGCCTGCCAGCCACACTGCCCTACGTCTTTTCCCCACTTCTCTTCCCTGTTACAGTAGAGGCAAGGCTGGGCCCCCTCCACCCCTAGCTGTACTTGACTTTCACGGAGTTACAGCTTCATACTTCCTGCTTGAAGGAAGGATGTGGTTTTGCACCTCCTTGCCTTTGTAGGTGATTAATTAGTATACAAAGATGGCTAAAGCATGTAGAAAATGTATAGACTGAGAACCTTACAGAATGAGGTAGGCCAGTTGTCTGTGGTGACAGACCGTGGCCCTGTGTGGCCAAGTGTGGTCAGGGATATGCTCATCTGTGACTGAGCACACCTAGGCTTTCACATTGTCACTTCTGATCTGTGTCATCTGCACACATCCTCAGGCCCTGTCCTTTCCATAAATCAGTTCTACCGAGACTTGAGATATCAAGGACTTACACAGGTGTAGGCTTTGTCCAGTGTCTCCACCAGCCCACAGTTCCTCCCTCACTGCCATCTCTGGTGGCTTTAACCAGCTGGTGTTTCATTTTCCTCAGTGGGGACAATGCCTATGATCCCACACTTTTACAATAGCTTTAAAACGTGAAGCCCTAAAGGGTTTGCTTTGGAAGTGCAGAGGCTAGACACTTGTCCAGCCATCCAGACCACGATTTTATGTAGCAAGACAGCCTGTTCAAACTAGAATGTGGTGTTCAGACCCATCAGAGTTTTTGGTTTATTTGTTTCAATCAATTCCTTTAATAGGGCCTTGGAAATACAGACAGGGTGCCTGAAAATAATCACTTTTAATTACAATATTGTTTTGGAAAAAAAATTATCAAACATAGCATCACATAAGGGCATTTTGGTCAGTGAGGAACCACCTACAGGACAGCGGTCCCTTGTCCATCGTATTTTGTGCAAGTGCACCCTGTCGGTTTTTATTCCATGATCCTGAGAATTAGACCTGTTTGTTGTACTGTGTATGGGTGTGTTCGACAGCTTTGGTCTTAGTTCATTTTGTTTTGTTTTGTTGCCAACTTGACATAAGTTAGAGTCTTTCTGGGGAAAGTGAACCTTAACTGAGAAAATGTTCCCATAATATTGGTCTGTTGGCAAGCCTGTGGGGCATTTTCTAGATGTTGCAGAGCCCACCCCACTGTGGGTTTTGGTAGGTGGTCCTGGGATGTATAAGAAAACAAACTGTGCTGGGCATTGGTGGCGCACGCCTTTAATCCCAGCACTCGGGAAGCAGAGCCAGGATGATCTCTGTGAGTTCGAGGCCAGCCTGGTCTC